TGTGTTATGAGAACAGGAGAAGGAACTGTTTCAAATAGTAAGTCTTGATGAAAATAAAGCTAAAGCAAGCTTACCTGTTCTTTTTCAGCTTGGCTTCAGCTGAAGGCATGTTTTCCAGGCAGCTGGGGCAGTAGTGAGAGTCCACCTGATAAAGGAGAGGGCCACATCACACTTCCTGGCACACATTTGTCTAGGCAGCAGCATGCTGGCAGCAGCCTGAAACTCTGCCACACAATCTAATAGGGCTTTGTGTCTGCCAGCAGACAGGGGAAGCCAGGAAGGACTTGAGACGCTTTTTGAAATCTTAACCCATCTCAGCCAAATTTTAATCTTCAATAATGTTCCTTAAGTCAGGATTGAATAAATTATTCCACTTAGTAAATGGGAAAAGGACAACTGGCTGTTGACCTCTGCAGTGCCCACAATTCCATACAGGAAACAACAGATTTTAACATGCCTTTTTTCCTTTTATATCTACATTTATTCTACCTTTGTAGTTAGACTGGTCAGATACACACATATTTCAGAGAACACTTTGTATCTGCTGTCATAAAATAATTCTGTCAATTAAAACAACACTAACAAGAAGGGGGCCCCTTCTTGAAGGGGAAAGTAAACCAATCATTAAACATGGCAATGCACAGTGACTACACTGGTCATGCTATAGCAAAATCATGACGGATGCAGCGTGGTGACAAATCTATTTTCTACTCCTCGGAGGCTTTATCATTTTTGAAGAGAGATCTCCTCAGATCCGGGTTGCAGAGTCATTCCCTCAAGGCTTTTCAGAGCTACTGTAATTTCTTAATTCACACAGGCTTCTGCAGAGTGCGCTGCACGGATTTGATTACCGTGATGGGAGAAGTCACAGGAGCAGCCCTAGGTTCGAGGCTTGCACAAAAGCAGTGCCCCATGCACCAGACCATTGCTCCACCCTGATGATCACCTGCAGGCTCCAGCCATTCCTGGCCGAAGAAATAACCCTCCACAGCAGAAATCCCGCTGTGGGGCACAAGCTCGTCCTGATGTTGATAAACTCGCACCACTCTTACGCCTGACACCGCTGTCGTAACGAGCACGCTGCTCCCGCCCTCAGCACGCTGCTTTGTCATGAGCATGGGCTTTGTCAGACCGCTGCGAACGCAGCCACATCCATCAAGACCCGGGGCCCGGCCGAGAGCAGCTCCCTCCGGGAGGCCCGAACCCGGGAGCGGGGCTCCGTGGCGGAAGCTCCCGACCCTGCCCGGTCGTCACCTCAGGCCGCGCCCCACAGCGGGGTGCGAGGTAGTGGGTGCCCGCCCTGCCCTACCGGGGGGTGTTCGATGGGGACGTGTGTGGGGGGGGAAGGGGGTCCCGCTGCCCCGGCTGAGACCCACAGAAGGGTACGGGGGGTCCCGCTGCCCCGGCAGGGACCCATGAAGGGGCCGCTCCCACCCAGCCGGGCCCTACACCGGCAGGGGGGCACATGTCTTGTGAGGGGAAGTTTCCTCTCAGCCAATCACAGCCCGTATTCCACCGACGGACAGACGCGCAGAGCCAATCCCAAACAAGGCACCGCCCCTTCAGTCCTCCACGGCTAATCACCCCCGCCGTACAGGTACCCTCACCCGCGCTAACAACCAATAGCAAAGCAAACTGCGAGTGAGCAGCAGGAGAGCCACCCAATCGGTGAGCGCATAGAGCGCAACGTTCCTCCCTCGTCCCGCCCCATGCCTCCCGGCGCGGCGCTGACCGGTCCGCCGTTACCTCGTGCGAGACGCACTCGAGGGAGCGGAGCTGGCGGCAGTACCGGCAGAAGTACAGCTGCGACAGCGGGGCGCGCAGCTCCTTCTCGCCGCGCACCAGGTACAGCACCCGCTCCGACTGCAGCAGCGACGCCATCTTCGCACCGGAGCGGGCCCCGCCGCCGCCGCCGCGCGTACGTCACCGCCAGACGTCACCGCGCCGCCCCGCCCACGCGACCCCGGCGCGCCCTGCTGGGCACCGCGGGCGTGGGTGCGATGGGTCCTAAAGGGGGTCCGCAGAGCGCGGTCAGTGCTGGGGGAGCGGGGCCAGGGCGGACAGCGCGGGGTGATTCACCCGTTCAGGAGCTGGGGGTGCAGCCACCGTCCCTGGAGGTGTTCACACACCGTGCCATGGGTTAGTGGTGGCCTCGGCAGTGCTGGGGAACTGGACTTGATCTTCCAGCCTGGTTGGTTCTGGGATCCTATAGTCGTAACACGCTCTCCTGTATGCTGCCCGATTCCCTGAGCCTCAGCTGTGCTTCTTTCACTGCCCACAAGGCACCCTCTGAACACACAAGGCACCAACTTGCTCATACTCCTGAGGGGGTTTCTCTTGGCTTTCGTGGTCCCGACAAAACCAAACATCCCCGTGTAGTGGGACCAGCAGGTAGATGTGAGGAGTATGGATGCTGCACTTTGTGTTCACAGGGCAGAGCTTGCAGCTGCAAACCGCCTCCACTCTGCTCCTCAGCATGCTGCCAAGCATCGGGCATGGCCTGGGCTTCAGCTTCACTTCCTTATCCCCACCCTGACCCTGCACAGTGCCTGATGTCAGCCCATGACCTCCAGAGGAAACCCCTGCCCATGAGGATCTGCTGCCACTTCATGATAAAACCCTGCATGCTTTTTATCTGGCAGCAGCAGCTGGAGGGGGATGTGCTGTTCGGAAGAGGCTGCTCCCAGGGTTTGTGGTTGCTGCATGCCCAGAAGCCAGGGGTGTCTGAGGGCACAGGGTAATGGTTTCTGCCACCAGGAATCCATCAGGTTTCCCTGAGAAAGGCAGGATGAAGGGTGCAGTGTGTGGGTCCCACTGTGGGTGACACCGGGATTGTATCCCAGCAGGAAAATCAGAGCATCCTCGGGCCAGCCAGGAATAGCTACTGCTGTTTCTGCCCTTCAGCATCACTTGGGGAGCAGAATATTCCACTGGGCAGCAGAAACGCCATTCCCATCCAGTGGGATATCTGTTGTCTCCCAGAGATGCTCTCTGCCCTCTCTGCCTGTGTCTCTAAATGAACGCTGCCCCGAAGCCCTGGGGAGAGCTGCCCGCACCTTGCTGTGGGGGTTTACGGAGGCTCTCCCTATGGTTTGGCCATTCCCTCTTGCTAAGGCAGGTGGGTGCGTGTGAGCCCCACTGCTGGTGAGGCAGAAGGATGGGGCAGGGGAAAAGCCCTTTGTAACGCTGTGAGATGTCCCCACGGTGCCTGCAAGAGACCCCCGAGTTTGTCTCCCGAGGGTCCCTCCCGCTGGGGCCCCGTGCTGGGGGATGCTGAGCTGGAGCGTGCTCCGGCTTTATCCTGGCACACACAGAAGATCCGCCCTTCCTTCCCCTTCCCCTCCTCTCCTCTCCCGCCGGGCCCCTTCCCCTGCCGCCCCTCGCGGGCCGGGCCGGGCGGGGCCAAGCGGAGGCTTCTTCCCCCAGCGGGGATCCTGCCGCTGCCGCCGCCTCCCGCCGCAGCCGGACCCGGACCCGGACCAGGAGCAGGGCAGTGCCGCAGGTAGGGGGGCACGGGCAGGACGGGCGGTGCTGATGCTGCCTCCTTCTCCTCTTCCTCCTCTTCCTCCCCACTGTGCCGGAGCCTGGCGGGGATGCGGGCTGGACGGGGGGGCTCAGCGCGGTCGTGACCCCCGGCCCCTCATCCCCGAGCCCCGCTGCTAATGAAGCCACTAACTCCGTGACTCAGCACGAGGGGATGTGGGGTGGGGTCCCCCGGAGCGGGGGGGGCTCCGGCCACGCTGCTCCCGCCGCTTCCCCCCCCAACCCGCGAGTGACCAGCGGGATGCCTGGTTTGTGGCTTTGCTTTATCAGCTCCTTTAACAACGGTAACAATTAACAGGGAAGTTTTCCCTGGCTTTTATCCAGCTGCACCAGAGCACGCTGCAAATCCCAGGAGCACGCTGTAAACCCTCCTCCAAGGAGCCTTTTGCTCTTGAAAGAGCCCAGGGCTGAGGCTGGATGTGGCTGTAGGGGTCTCCCCAGAGAGCAGTGGGTGCTCAGAGCAGTGGTGGGGTGTTTCTGCCTATGGGAGGGATGGAGGGTGCTTCCCCATCACCCCTCTACCTCTCACTTGCAGGATGGACCTCCCTGAGCCCGCAGGTCCTGCTGCCCTCCCCAAGCACATCCTGGACATCTGGGTCATCATCCTGATCATCCTGGCCACCATCCTTGTCATGACAGCCTTGGTGCTCTGCCCGGCCACCGCCGTCATCATCTACCGGGTACGGACTCACCCCACGCGCAATGGCATCGTGTGAGGTGGAGGTGATGAGAGACAGCCCACAGCCATGGGATCCTGTGCTGGGGACCCAGTGGAGCACCCAAAGAGCTGGGGAGAGACGGGCAGCAGCTGGGGTCGGCCAGCACCCGGATGCCTGCCCCTGTACACGGCTCTTCCACTGCCTCCTATTTACCTACTGAGCTCATGAGGACTGTCAAGGAGACGGTGGCCTGGGCACCAGACAGGAGATGTGTGACTTTGTGAACCTGTCCAGCTAGAAATGGCTCGCTCCCATGAGGCAGCCGGGCTGGTCTCACCTTCCCTGGTGACCCATTTCCTCCCAGGCAAGCAGCAAGGTGTGGAAATGCCCAGCAAAGCTATTTCTCCTTTGGAGTCCCAGCCATCAAGGTGGTTGGGAAAGAAGGGTCAAAGCAAGATGGATGTGGCTTCTGACTGTGCATTGGGAGACTCAGCTAAAAGCATTGGTGACAGAGCCCAGCCTGGCTGTGCAGCAGACGTGCAGCTGGGACCAGCTTCTCCTCTATCAGATACCTGCTGGAACTGTAGGAAAACCCTGTGGGGTGCTTGGTTCCCTTGGGTTTCATGGGGCAGAGGAGCATGGGCAGATCCTGCCCACACAATGGCTGCGCTCTGTGCCCCTAATGATGGTGAGGGGCTCCGCACAGCGTGGCTGACCCATTGGGAGGGTCTGTGCCCCTGTCTGGGAGGGCAAAGCAGAGGGGTTTGTGCCAGGCAGTGGCAAGGACCATGTAAGCTCTTACACTGCCTCTTGCTATGAAATAAATGGACTTTATTCTACATGTGGTGGTGTTGTGCGGCTCTATCCACACTACAATGGTGTCCGTGCGCAGGAGCTGAGATGCTTCCCTGCCTCTCCAGAAGCTGTCCGTGTGCTGACCTCCTGCACTGCATTGGCTCAAGGTCCTTGGGGTGCTTGCCCAGCCTTTGAGCCCAGTGGCTACAGCCCCATGCTCTGGGAGTGCAAACTTGAATCTGGCTATCACAGTGGCAGCAACCATCAGAGAGGGAGTGGGAAGGATCCCCAGGGATTGACTGGCTGCTTGTGTCCCACTCGGTGACCAGCATCCCATCCCAGGCGCTGGCGCGTGGCTGCAGTCCTGCATCCTGGGGCTGAGACGGCGTCGCGGTGACTCACGGCGAGAAAGGTCACTCCTAACGAGATGAATCAGGCTGGGCTGTGGGGAGACGCTGCGGTGATGCTGGTGGGAACTGGCTAAATCCCATTTTCTCTGCTGGAAAAAGCAATCATCCAGCGGTGTTAGAAACCCTGCACCCCATCCCTGCGTGGCTTGATCTGAACAGCTTTGCTTTAGGTGCTAGGGCTGGAGGGGCAGGCGATTCCCAGGGAAGCAGGACCAGGACGGGGATGCAGCCCCAAGGGATCGATCATAAGGGCCTACACAGGAGCCATGGGCTGCGGTCGTGCAGGGAGGGCTCAGACACGTATTCCTTGCCTGTCCCACAAACACGTTTCTGTCTCTCTTCCCCTTCTCAAGTTGCAGGGTTTGAGGCAAATAACCAGAGTTATTTTCCTGTTGTTCCCCCCCTCCCTCCCTCCCTGGCTCGATGCCGTGGCAGCAGCTGGAGGAGATTATGGCTGTGCTGGGAGGGAGCAGCCCCAGCTCTGCCTCCCCACCACGTTCCATCCTGGAGCCCCTTCCCTGGGGACACATCGGGTCCAGACAGCGGCGTCTGGCACCGGGAACCGGAGCTGAGCTCCTTGGCTATGAAAGAAGTAGGGAAAGAACCACAAATACTGGAGTGGTTTGAGGAGGAAGCCTGGTTTGGAGCAAAACATCCAAGGAAAAGCACGCACCTCCCTTCTGTCCCTGCAGCCATACCCGGTGGCTGTTGCCACCTCTCCGTGCCCTTTTATCGTTAGCAGCCGAGGGGATGAGAGGTTTCCTTTCCTGGCAGGAATTTTCTAGGAAATATGAAGCTCTTGGCAAACGTTTCCAGGAAAGGCATTGGAAAGCCTTGGAAAGATGGGCTTGTCCATGACAACAACTGCACGGAGCAAAATGAGCGCAGGATGAAGCCAGGACATTTTTAAAGCATGAAAATAGGGCTATGGATTTGAATTCCTCCTCCAGGACTGAGCAAGATAAGCAAATCCCCCTGTGGCCCCTGCTCTGGTGCCTGAACAGTGCTGGAGCTCGGAGGCAGTGCTTGCTGAGGAAAACTGCCTTTTTCCGCACAGAAAAAGCAGGTCCTGCAGTGGTGATGCTGCAGCAGGCAGGCACTTCATGGTGTGGGTGATTCAGCATCCACTGGGATGCTGTGGGAGGCCAATGCTGGTGGCCCCGGTGGGAGGAGGTGATACAGGATGCTGTCACTGTGCTTCTAGAGTTGGGACCTTAAAGCTCAGCTGGTTCCAATCCCCTGCCATGGGCAGGGACACCTTCCCCTGGAGCAGGGTGCTCCAAGCTGTACTCCAAAGGGCGATGGGCACTGTGCAGTGCCTGCTGGAGCACAGGGACTGGGGCAGGGTGACCAGAGCTGGATGAGCTGTGGAGCCAGTTCCATGCAGGAAGCCTGGTGCTGGGGGAGCTGGGCCTCTCGCCCAGCAAAGCTTGTTTTGCTTCTGCCTGCTGCTGCACACCTAGAACAAAAGTTCAGAGGTTGCCCTGGGCCTGATGCTGGGCTGCCAGAGCAAAGCAACGCTGCTGTCAGCAGGGTGATGCTGCCCAAGCACCATCCCTGGCACCGTCCCCATCACTCTGCAGGCAGAAGCTTCTCTCAGCTCTGGGGCACAGCCCAGCAGCTGTCTGTAGTCCTCCCATTCCCTGTACCCATCACCATGGCCCTGCAGCCTGGTGCAAGGTCTCTGCACCCCTATCCTGTGGCTCGGGGGCAGCGGGGAGGCCGGTGGCAGCGGCAGCGCAGTGACCAGGGGCTGGCCTCCTGCCCCAGGCTCCTGCCAAACATCTGCAGCAAGCGGGGGCTGGCTCCAGTCAGGCTCTGGTGGAAAAACAACCGGGGAGGGAGGTTCAGGCTAGGTCAGCCCGCACAGTGGCCTGCTGGGAGGGATGGGGGACCCCATCCTGCATGCTGGAGCAGCATCCTGCACTCAGATGGGCTTGCTGGAGCCCCCAGCTCCCTCAGCTCTCCCATGCCGATGTGCCAAGGGTCCCTCTGAAGCTCAGTGGCAGAGATGGGGTTCATCAAACGTGGCTCATTAAATCCTGCCCCATTCCCCACCTCCATCGAGGCTGATTTGGCACCAGGACCAAAGGAGAGGGGATTTGGAGAAATGGGCTCCTTATTATGCTGATTTCAGAATCACACAGTGCAGGAGTGGCTCAGCCTTTCCCTGCATGCCGCAGGGATCAGGGACACAACCACACTGTGCCACCACTGCTCTCTCCAGCCCCCAAGTCCCTGTTAACCACAGCAAAGCCACCAAAGCCCCACACAGGCAATTAGGGGATATAATCAGAAGTGTGTTGTTGTTCCCATGGTGCGAACTAGTGCGGCAGGGAGTGCAGCCCCCAGCAGCTCCCTAGCTCTGTCTCAGCTCTGTCCCAGGTGTGAGCTGGGTGGGAGCACAGCACAGAGCCAGGCTCACACCAGCCCCTATTGGGGGCAGGATGCAGCGAGGTGAAAGCAGTGTGTTGGAAAGGAGCTGCAGCCCCGTGGATCCATGGCCCCAGAGAGCTGGGAAGTGGATGGGGAGGATCGAGCCCCTGGTTTTGGCAAGGAGCTGCATGTCGTCACCCATGGCCACATCCATGAGGGGTGATCGGAGCATCCCTGCAGCCAGGATAACTGTTGATGCATTGTGCTGGGCTCTGGTCAGTCCCCAGGCAGCAGCTGAGCATCTCAGGGCTTTGCCTGGACTTGGGTGAACATCCCACACGTGGGGACCGATGCCGGGGCAGGGCTGAGCTGCCTCACCAGTAGCAGTGCAGGTTTAAAGCACTGGGAAACGCTGCCCTTGATAGAAGGACGTGCAGTTCCATGGGTTCCCTGTGTGTGTGATGTACCTGACCCGAAGCCCTTCCACACCAGCCAAGGCTGTGCTCACAGCCTGATAACATCAGCCTTTCCCAGGACATGGTGTTCCTTGGAAAGAATGGGAGATAGTTCCCAGCCTCCCCCAAGCCCATGGCTTGGCTCCACTTCCCTGCAGGCATCTCCCGCAGCTCCGTGACAGCTCCCTGACAGGGCTGACCCTGCTTTCTAGTAAAGCCAAACCTCGTGTGGCATCCCTGTCCCCCTGGGGACACCCTGTCCTGCCTCCATTGCAGGCCTGATCCTATCCCAAACCGCAGCCCCAGCTCCCCTCTGGCCAATTAATTGTCCCAATAAACAACTTTATTGTGGGATTTTGGGGAATTTACACCTCCCCACGGTTATTTCCCTTGGAGCCAGCCCAGGGTAAATGTTTGTATTCCCTGGGGTATAAAAACAAAGCCCTGGAAACTCCTGCCCTATGGGGACACAAGGGGTTAACGGACAGTGGCAGCCATAGTGGGGTCACTGTGGGGCTATGATCCCCCAGCCCTTGGGGAGGGGACGCCCCTCCAGGGCTGCTTCTTGAGCACCCTAATTTTGCTGGGCTATAAAAGGTTCAGCCATGGGAGGGGAAGGATCCTGGACCCCATCCCCGCCTCCCCAAAGATGCTGCTGAGTCCCCCATCTTCCCGGGTGCCAGCTCCCCTCTCTGTGTGCCCTACGCACGGTGAGGACAACACCCGGCACCTCTTCCACCCCAAGTGGGTTTCAACCCCCAGCTCCCTGGCTCCTATAACACGCTGCACATCCCCTGAGCTCTGTATCTATCTATCTATCTATAAATCTATCATCCATAAATTATCTATCCATAAATCTACCTATCTATATCACTGCCCCGTGTGCCGTTACCGGACACTCATGGTTACGGCACCCCCGTGCCCCCCCCCCGCCCCGGCGCCGTGCCCGTCCCCGGCCGCACACGGTTAACGCAGCCCCGGCCCGTCCTTCCTGCCGGCGATTGGCTCCCCCCGCTCAGCCCAGCAGCTATTTCTCGGCTCTCGGGCTCGGAGGTGGCAGAAGGCGGCAGGGAGAGGGGGGGTTTGGGTGTGTTTGTGTGTGTCCCCCCCCCCCGGCGCTGTGAGCAGGGGGCCCGCACCCCACACCTGCCCCAGACATGGGGGGCTGGCTCCGCAGCGCCTGGATTTTGCCCCTGTTTTTGGCTGGGCTCGTCCAGCCAGGACAGGGGCAGGAGAAGGAGAAGGTAAGAGGAAAGGGGGGACCCTTATGGGGGTTTTGGGGATGGGGGCGGGATGTGGTACCCTGAGGATCCTCCTGTCCCCAAGGCTTTCTGCAGAGGTCCCAGGGGACTCGGTGGTTCTGTGACGCCCCCCCCCAATCCCGGTGGTTGGATCGCGTTTTTTTTTTTCCAAGCTATCTCTTGGGAATTGCTGTCCTAGGGTTGGGGCAGAGGGGACAGAGCCTGGTCCCCTCCCCAGTGACCCCCCATAGGGGCAGAGGAAGGGGCTGTTGATCCATGCAGTGTCCAGGGGGGTGCACCCATGTTTGGGGGTGCAGGCACCACTGTGTCCCCACACTGCAGCAGGCAGGGAGCAGTAGTCGCTGTCCCCCTCTGGTCCCCACAACCTCCTTGACACTGGTGGGAGAAGCAGAGCCCCACCACCAGATCCATTCAGCCCCATGGAAGCTGAGCTGCCGGGGCAGAACCCCCGTGACTTCATCTGCTGCCAGGTCCCAAAATAGCCCCTTGGTGCCACTTGGGTGAGCCTGGGCTCCCTGATGGGAACGGGACATGGGATCCCTGGGTTAACCCCTGCTGCGCCACAAGCAGAAGCTGCTCCACACCCTTCCCTGCTTGGGTCTGATCCATCCCTGATCGCTCCCTTGCCTGGGCATGGTTTGGCCACAGCACAGCAGCGGGTGCTGCTCTGGGGCACCCTAAAGGGTGCATGCAGGGGTGTTGGGGTGCTGCTCACTCATGGCTCCAAGGAGGCTGGGGCTTCTTTGTCCCGAAGCCAGCTTGAGCTATTTTCCAGCCTCTCGCCTTCCTGCCTGGCCGCGGACAGATAAACATCCCTCCAGCTGCAGCCAGCCCCGCTGGCCGCACATGCTCAAGCCAGCCTGTCCATCACCGTGACCTTGGCTCGCTGGAGCCTGGCTACTGCCAGTGGTATTTGGGGCAGGAGAGACAACACTGGCAGCTGCCAACTCAGCCAGCGCCAGCGCTGGACCCGCTGCTCCAGTGGGCACGGGTGGCTGTGGGATTGGAGCCCCCTGCTCCATCCATGGGATGCTCCTTGCCCGCAGGTGAAATGCTACGGCTCGGTGCAAGGCACCATCTACGACTACGGGGCCCTGACCATCGATGGGGACGAGTATATTCCATTTAGGAATTATGCAGGGAAGATGGTGCTCTTCGTCAACGTGGCCACGTACTGAGGCCTCACCCTGCAGTATCTTGGTAAGGGTCCTGTGGGATATGGGCACACCAAGGGACAGAGTAGGCAGCAACACCCAAGTGTATAGCCCTTGGCAGGTCCCCATGGTCTGTCCTGCTCCCCTCCTAAACCAGCCCTGGCTGTGTTTGCCTGCAGAACTGAATGCACTACAAAATGAGCTGGGGCCCTACGGGCTCGTTGTCCTGGGCTTCCCCTCCAACCAATTTGGGAAGCAGGAACCCGGCCAGAACTCAGAGATCCTCCCTGCGCTGAAGTGAGTACTGGGGTAGGGGCTGTGGCCCCCAAAGAACAGGGCTTATGGCTTCAAACCACTGCTGTGCAGCACCAAGCTGCCTGTTGCAGGATGCTCACCCTCCCCTTGCAGGTATGTCCGGCCAGGTGGTGGCTTCGTCCCCAATTTCCAGCTCTTCCAGAAAGGGGACGTAAATGGGGCCAAGGAGCAGAAGGTCTTCACCTTCCTGAAGGTGGGTGCACGGCAAGGAGTCACAGGGGCTGCATCCAGGTTGGGTTTTGAAGGGGACAAGGCACTGATGCTCTGGCTCCCATTGCAGAACGCCTGTCCCCCGGTGGCGGAGGAGTTTGGGAACCCCAAGAACCTATTCTGGGAGCCCCTACGGAACCATGACATCAAGTGGAACTTCGAGAAGTTCCTGGTGGGCCCCAATGGCGTGCCCGTGATGCGGTGGTACCACCGAGCCAACATCGCCGTTGTGAAGAACGACATCATTGCCTACATGAGGCAGCTGCAGGAGCAGGGCCAGTAGAGGCTGGGGCTGCTGGCTTGAGGGGTGTTTCTCCCCTCTGCTGGCATCCCCATGGCTGCTTTGGGGCTGGCTCCCCACCCCATCCCATCATACATCCCAGCAGCAGAAGCCAAATGCTGTCTCCTCCATCACTGTTATCTCTGGCACTCCCAGTGGCAGAGACCTCAGTGATAGGAATGGGACATTCCCAATAACCCATATCCCACCCCAGCAGTGGCATCTCCTCCTGGCCCCCAGCTTTCCCACTGCTCCATCACCCCGCGTTGCCGGACAGCAGGAGGATGCAGGGGCCGCTGCCCCTGGAGCAGAGGACCACGTCTCCATGAAGGCTCGGCCCGAAAGCCCCCGGCACGGGGCGGGCCAGGCCTGATCCCACCGAGCACGGAGCAGCTCTTCAGTGCATTCAAGCCGCCCGTGGTGCCGGTGCAGAGACGCGCTCCTCTCCCGGTCAGGGGAAGCTGGCCCCTCATCCCCAGCACAGAAATGCCAAATAAAGGCTCTGCAAATGTGCAACCCCGCTTCTTGACCAGGGATCGGGGGGAAGAGTAGGGGGTACAATGGCCAGGCTGGGCGTAGCAGTAGGGAGGGCTGGCTCCCAGCTGGATAAACTCCTAAACAGGGGTTTATCATCACAGGATAGCATTTGGGGACAGGATGTGTGCTGGTGCAGAGCAAAAGGGGCTGGGAGAAGGAGCAAGGACCAGCCCTCAGCAAGGAGCATGCCAGGGCGCCTGGCTCCTGCTGTCATGCACGTGACAGCCACGCTCACACAAATAGGGCTGGTTATTTTTTTCCTCTCCCCTTCCAGCCTTGTTTTCCTGGAGCAGAGTCTGGAAACACACATCCTAAGGCCATGGCTGCAGGGGAAGGCAGAAGGGGAAGTACAGGAGTGGGGAGTTCAATGCCCTGACAAAGGCAGAGGGTCAGGAGAGGAAAAGGCAAGAGGCTGAGCCCAGCACCCAGAGGGAGATGGGGAACATGCACTTGGAGCAAGAGATGCTGGGGTGCACATGCAAGGGTTGGGGTCCCCTTGCTCTGCCCCCACGGCTACACCCGAGCCCTGGCATCCCTCCTGGTGCCCACACCGAGGCTGCCCCAGGGGAAGCAGTTTTGGGGATAAAACCAGAGAGACTCAGCTCCACTTCAGTCCTTAAATAAATACAAAGACACCAACCACCCTCAGGCTGGGCCATGGCTGTGGCAGGCACCCGCCTGTGAGCATGGGCTCTCCCAGCACCGGGAGCATCCCTGCCAGCACCCATTCCTCCAGGGGCTGGACCGAAGCCCCTGGACCACAGCAGCTCCTGGGAAACGCCAGCTCCTCTTCCCTGAAGACCTGGCTCGGGGCTACAGCGCTGCCAGGCCTGATGCCTCGTGGGGAAAGGGATGGGCGCAGGGCGCTGACCCCACCGTGCTGGCACCTCCGGTCCCTCCTTAACGCTCTCCTGCAGGGATGCACTGAGGAGCTGTGCACGTTCACTGCATGTCCATGCACAGGGAGAGGCAGCCGGAGGAAGCTCCTAGATACATACACACGGGCACACACACACACCCTACTCCTCCTCTGCTGGTAGCGCAGTGCAGCCGGGGCTTGGCGTTAGGGCAGTCTGGGACCTGCCTGTTCTGAAAGACAAGAAGGGTGGTAAGGGGTGAGCACAGCTCTGCATGCCCAGGTATGCCCATAGGAGGGATGCAGTCATGGAATAGCCGTTATCCCAAGTATTGATTGCCACAACCCCATGAGCTATTAGGGCTCAGGCTCATGCCTGTCTTCAGTAGCAAATGGTCCAGGCTTGCCCGTGTTCAAGGCCAGGTTGGAGAGAGCCTCAGGAATGATCCAGTGTGAGGCGTCCCTGCCCATGACAAGGGGGTTGGAACTGGATGATCTTAAGGTCCTTTCCAACCCAAACCATTCTGTGATTCAGATGCTGCAGGGTTGGTTCAGGGGATGCAGCAGGGACCAACCCCAAATCACATTCAGCCCCAATCACATTCAGCCCAAATCACATTCAGAGGTGTGGAAATGAACACTGCCTGGAAAGCTGTCTCCCCCATCCCTCTCCCAACCACCCATGGTCCCAAGGGTGAGGACAGGTTCTGAGCCTTACCCAAGTCCTTGGGGACCTGTTTCACTCCAGCCACTGCCTGGGCGTTCTGGCTGCGAGCCATGGCGCAGGGTGGGTGCCAGGGGTACTCAGGCTGCAGGAGGAGATGAACAGGAGCAGTCAGTTACCAGGGATGTGGAGCATGAAGCCGCACTGTCCGATTGTTGGGACATGAGGAGGAGGAAGGCAGCTGAGCCTTCACATGCCAACAGCACACGTGTGCTCAGTGACATGGCTGCTCAGCAGTGAGCTTCAGACCCTCTCACACAGGACCCGCTGCTCCCCCTGTGCTGGCACTCACCGGGGAGAAGTGTTGGAAGTTCTGTCCCGGTGGGTGCTCTCCTGGCATTGCCGGCGGGTACCGGATCTGCTGCCACTCATCGAAGCCATGGTACATGGGGTGAGCCACGGGGGAGCTGTACTGATATGGGTACATGGGGCAGGAAGGGCCCAGCGGCCCCTGCAGCGGCTCGGGGTGCAGCCTCTCTCCAGATGCCTGTGAGGAGCCAGGAGAGATGGTGAGGAGATCTCCAAGGGCAGCCCACCACCATCACCCAGCTTGGAGCTGCACCTCTAGCATAGGTAAGAGGCTGAGGCAGGCCTGAAGCCCCCAGCCCCTCACCTAAGAAGGGTTTTTGCCCCATCCCCACCTGTTTGTGCTGTTTCAGCAGCTTCTTCAGCTTCTCCTTCTCCTCCTTTTCCCTCTGGCAGTCATCCTTGGAAGCTCGCAGCTGTGAGAGCAATGGGGGTTAGTGCAGAGCCCACCCTGCCAACCCCAGTGTCTGTAGGACAAGGGTTGCTGCAATGCCCTGCAGAAAGGTGTGTGTGCCCCCAGATGCCCAGGGGAGGAGGAGAGGGGGAGAAGGAAGAGACAAGTGAGGTGCTCTGACAGGGACAATCAGCAGCAAAATCAGCCCTCAGACACTGCTCCGATATTAGTACAGGGGCTGTGATACTGGGGACACATCCAAGTGGGCCACCAGGCTCCCAGTGGTACCCAGCACTGCTCACCTGGTTGTTGGAGATGACCAACTGCTTCTGCAGCTTTTCCAGCTGCTGCTTCAGCTCTTCCTTCTCCTCATTCATCCTCTCCCTGTCACTCCGCTCCCGCTGGAAGTCCTCCTCGAAGATTTTCACCTGGCAGGAGGGAGCGATGTGGGTGCATTTGCTGAGGGCAGATATCTCCACAAGCACCCCCATCACCATGGTACCATCCCCGACCCCATCAGCTACACCAAGCCCCAGGCAATGGGCTGGCACAATGGCCAACAGCCATGGTCCTCTCCCAGCTGAATGCTTGGAGGATGCTGAGCTTGGTTCCCCACTTCCCACCACTGCAGCACTGACACACACCAGGCTGCTCCTGGCCACACCAGGTTCTTTGCCAGGGAGGTCCAGGACATGTAGCTCCCTCCCTGCCTCCAGTGACTCCATGTCCTGCCCCACCTGCTGTTTGAGCAGCTCGTTCTGGGTCAGCAGCTCCTGTGATGGCAGCTTCCCTGCCGTCTCCATGGCACTGGCAAAGATGGGTGGTGGAGAGGCCTGGACGTTCAGGGCCTCCTCTAGTGCCTACAGGAAGATAAGCAGGGAGAGGGGGGTCAGAGTAAAGCACTGTGCCTATGACTGGAGGGCCATGAGCACATGGGACTACAGACCCCCCCAAACCCCCTTTTCTGGGAGCCTGGAGTGATGTGGTGGGCACTGTCTGACATGAGCCCCTGCCTAGGCAAGGAGCTGGATAGGAGGCGGGTGTTGATCAGGGCCAGTTTGGGATTTAAGATTGAAGAGGCTGGAGAACATGAAACACATTACTTTCAGCAAAGGGTTCTGGCCTGGCCCCCACCTTGTTCAGCCTCTGGATCTCCTTTTCCTGGTATTCCCGCTGCCTGGTGACCGGAGCCAACTGTTCCTGCAGGAACCGCATCCTCTGTTGCAGGTCCCTCACCTCCATGGACAGCCTCTCCTTCTCTGCCTGCAGGACCCATGGGGGAGGTCAGCCAAGGCCCATAGGGCCAGCGGATCCCTACCACCCTTCCCATGGGACTCACCTCCTCTGTTTCGATCCGGGACTTGGCCAGCAGCAGCTTGCGGTCAAAATCCCTTTGCTTCTGCTCCCGCTCCGACTCCAGCTCAGTCAGTGCCCTGCGCGCCTCGGCCAGCTCCTGGTGCAGGTCCGTGACCTGCCGGGAGGGAGAAGGCATGTTGGCCTGCCTGCAGGAGCCAAACTGGGGGGGAAGGAGGCACAGAAAGCCCCAAACCTTCCCCTGCATCCAGTCTCCTCCATGTACCTGCACCCAGCAGAGATGTGCTCTCAGCACCCAAGCCCTACCTTCTGCTCGTACTTCTGCTTCATGGCTCGGAAGTGCTGATCCCATTGCTTATTCACCTCCAGCAGCTGCAAGGAGAGAGGAATGGCTGAACAGGAGCCCAACCCCTGCCTCCAGCCAGCCACGGTAGTCCCCAGCAGCCTCCCATTGCAAAAGCACCTTGTGGAGGTGCTGGATGGAGATCCCGGCTCCAGCAGCGCTTCCCTGCAGCTCCACAGCCCTGCCCCGGGTGCTGCCCCAGCACTGCCCGCTCCCTGGTCCTCACCTCCCTGCGCTGGTGCTCCAGGATCTTCACCTTCTTCTCCTTGGCCTCCATCTCTCCTCTGCCCGGCGCCTTCTCCACCGTGGCCCCGCTCTGCTGGACGCGCACGGGGGGGACCCTCAGGGCTTTTGTGGAGGCCGTGCAAGAGGCCAGCTAAACTTGAGCCAGTTCCCTCCCACCACCTTCCCATCCCCTTGAGACCCTGAGAGTCCTACTGGTCACACTGGGACAAACTGGGAGCTCGATCAGAATGAGGCCACCTTTGCTGATGTGTCAGCGGGCTCCCTGCCTCCTTCCCTGCCCTCCCTGAGGGCAATGCTGCCTCCTCACCTGCTGCTGCTCCGCACCTTCTCTCTTCCCACCATCCTGGCTGCCCAGTGTCACCATCCTCCGGAGCTCCTGGTTCTCACACCTGCGGGTGGGCAGGCAGGGATGGGTCAGTGGGAAGAAGCACTCAAAGCAGCCCTGTCCTCTTCCTCACCTCCCACCCTCACCTCAGCTTCTCCAGTGCCTGGTTTCTCTGCTCCAGGTCCCGCTCCAGCTTGGTTCGCAGCTCCTTGTTCTCACTGTGCAGCGTCTCACACAGTGTCTGGAGGGTGAATATCAGCAGCATGAAGACCTTGGCCAGCCCCAGGAGCCCTCCTGGTCACATACCAAGCTCTGCCATGGAGCTGGGTGTCCACGTCCAGGTGGACAGGAGGGGGCTTGGTGGGATTTAAACAACCCCCAAAAGGGAAAACCCCCATGAAGAGCCCATCCAGCTCTCACTCACCTGCAGGAATGATGTTCTCTGCTCATTCTTGTGCACCTTGGAGGCCAGTCGCTTGAGCTCGGAGGCCATGTAGCCCATACGCATGAAGACCTGGTCCTTGCTGGCCTCCTTGGCACAGCCACTCAGCGTGCTCTCCAGCTGCTGCAGCTGGGGCAGCAGGTTGGCATCCTCATTTGGTGGCTGCTCCAAGTCCTGGGGATGGGATGAAGATCATAGAATCAAGGAGGTTGGAAGAGAACTTTAAGATCATCAGGTCCAACCATTACCGCAGCACTGCCAAGACCACCACTAAAGCGTATCACTAAGGGCCTCATCTACACGGTTTGTGAACACTTCCAGGGACGGTGATTCCACCACTTTCCTGGGAAGCCTGTTCTAATACCCGACTACCCTCTCTGTGAATAAACTTTTCCTAACATCCAAGATCAGTTTAAGGAGCATTGCAAAGTCCCCTCTTGGGCAGATCAGCCTCAACTCCCACTCATGGCTGTGGCAGGGGCCAGCACCAAGACACTGCAATAGCTCTTGATATGCAGGACTCAACTCCTCCTGAAGGTCCCCTGGCCAATGCAAACAGGGATGTGCAACAACAGCATGTCCCCTTACAGGCACTGTGCAGTACAAGCTGATGTTTGTCCCCCTTGGGCTCCCCATCCCTCCTCCCCTCCCTTCCAGCATGCACAAAAAGCCAGAGCAGGACAGTGGCAGCCAGGGGAACATTCAGATGGCTCTAAACAGAGCACATGCACATGCCTTGGCTGGGCAGACCGTGTCAGCAATGATGGGGCTGGGTGACCTGGTCCTCCCACCCGGTGCAGGCACCAGGAGATGGGTGTCAGAGCACTGCTGACAGCTCTTTGGATCATCACAACCCTTCCTCTGTCATGGGGCATCTGGAGATGGGTGTTCCCATGCCCAGGCAGCCTGGCCTAGGCACCCAGCAGCCCCTGCCCTTGGAGGGCAGCCTGTACATTGCCCCCCTCCCTGCCTTGGCCAGGTGAGTGGTACATTTATTCCTCCAAATCCCACAGGCATCACTCACCGCTCTCCCACTCTCCTGGGGAAACCCCTGCACTTCCACAGGAACGACCTCGAAGTCTGAAGAGGATCCCTGCAATGGAAGGCAGCCAGGTCAGGTCTCCTTGGGGAATGGCAGCCCAGGATGCCCACCACATGGACACAAGGGGGAAACACAGCAATGAAGCTGACTCCTCCTTTCTAGAGGCTAAAGACTGCCTCCTTTTGCTTTAACTAGATGGAGCCTTTCCCTCTGGCCGTGCCAGCTCTCACATTCACCACACTCACATTTGGGGAAGGTTTCCGTGCTTCCACGTCCGGCTGGGCACTGCCTGGGACAGCCTGCGTGGAGCTGGGATCAGGGCCAATGGCTGCAGAGAGGGGACAGGATGTAGCCATGAGCCTTTTGGAGAGCAGCGCCTCTCCCTGCCTCACACAGGGATGCAGAGAGCAGACACCCCATGGATGGTTTCTACCCCAGGCATGAAAGCCTTCTTCACACTCTCTCCCATTCCCTGCACCCAGGACCCTGAGCCAGCAGGTTACTCCTTCTCTATGAGCCTTGTGTCTCCTACCTCCAGTTTCCACCAGGTCCTCCAAGGAAGATGCTATCAGCATTTTGTTGTCCTTCACAAGATCCTCTGCCTTCTGCCTCAGCTTGGATGCCTCCATCTGGGACTCCTCCAGCAGCTCTCCTGTTGTGGGCAACAGAAGGATGCTCACCCACCTTTCCTGAGTGCCTGCCCTGCAGCACACACCAACACCAAGAAGCCCCCTGCTTTGGTGAAGTGCCTTCATCATCCAGAAACAATTTATGTTGGCCAAATCCAATGGCAAAGCTGTTACCAGTGGCTCACTGGCTGCAGAGTCCCCCATGCTGACACATAGAGCACTTGTTACAGGAGGCAGAATGGCAGCGCTGCATCTCCCAGAGGTCTCCTCAGCCTCCCGTAAGAGACAAATTTTAAGCCTAAATTGTGGACCTAGAGGTCCAGCTTGCCCACACTGGGATCTAGCACCAGCAATGCAATCCTCTCTGCACCAGTGTGTCCCAGTCCCAGGTAGGGCCATGGTGACATGATGGGAATCACGAGGCAGGTGGAAATTTGGCTGCAGAAGTGGGACTCAAAAGCAGAAGCTGGGTCACGAGACCAAAAGCAAAACCAAGGGCGAGTGGGGGAAGGCAGCAAAGGAGGAGAAAGGGGGAGGCATGATTCAGCTGTAATGCCAGCACCAAGTCCCTGCACTAAGCACCCAACGCTGGGGTCTTTGAGCAGGGAAAAACCCCTGACCCAACAGGGGTTGCAGAAGGTAGAGCTTCCATCAGAAGCAGAATAGATCCCAGCAGCTGTGACCTGCCACTGCAGCTCTCCAAGGAGCCAACCTTGCTCCATCACTTGCCTTTTTTTTACCCCCAAGCCATTTATCCCACCACAGAGCATCCCAGGAGTTCAGCAAAAGCCTTGCTCCCTTTGCACCCCTGTGTGAAAAAGCCCAGACATCCTGCTGGATCCTCAAGGATGGGGACAGCTTTACTGCACCCCAGTGCCAAGACCCCCAGCTTCTTCTAGCTTCCCACACGGAGCAAGAAACCCCCAGGCTCGGTGGACACAGGCTGAGCTGCCCCGAAGGCAAACCCCATCCCCATCCACACAGCAGTTACCAATTGACTTGATCCCCTGCATCTTCTCCTTGAGCCGGGTGTTCTCCTCCACCAGCCGCTCAAAGGCTGCTGCTCCATTCTCCTCCAAGCCCCCACCAGGGTCGTAGATGCGGTAGGGTCCTCTCCCTTCCATGCCCGCCATTCAGTCACCTACCTCCGACCCGGGCATTCCTGCAAGGCAATGGGGCACAGCATCACCTTCCCCTGGCTCCAGACAGCACCGTGGTCCCCTGGTCCCAACCCTGCGGGGCTTTGGGTGCCATGGAAGTGCCTTACTGCTCACCAGCAGAGAAGTGTCCCAGGTGAAGGCAGTTCCCCTCCAGCTCTGCTCAGGGTGAACGTGCAGGGGTGACTCACAGCCATGAGAAGTGTCATGCGAGGAGGCATCACCAGCAGCCACGCTCGGGGCTGGCTCTCACCCCTATGGGGTTTGGGAGTCCCAGAGGAGGTTACAGCATGGGCTGCTGCATCCCAGGAGGGACAGAGACCCAGCCCTGGAGCATCCATCCGCACCAGCCTGGACCTGGGCACTGCCAGCAGGGCACCCTGCTCATCACAGGGTATTTTGGGGGGCTGGCTGGGGAGGGACAGTGTTTGCAGCTCCAAAAGCCTTAAATGCAGCTGGTGGGTGGTTTGGGCAGCACCAAGGGGGATGAGCCCCAGCAGCCAGGCAGAGACATGCTCTGTCCCCTGGATCAGCCAGGAAAATCAGCTGCCAATGGCACAGCTTCCCTATTCCAGCACGGGAACAGCCACACTGGGAGCAAAGTACAAGGAGAGCAAACACCTGTGCGCAGGTGTGCTATCTGCCCTTTTAATTCCTTGTGTCTGGGAGTGGCCTAAGTCCTCCCCATCACCGAGGTGTGGGCAGAACCAGGTCTCACCCATCTCCTGGGGCTGATAAGCTGTGAATTATCTCCCTTGATGACAGCCTGTTATAAAGTGGAGCAGTGCAGCAGCTGAGACAGCCCCGGGGGTGATGCCACATGGAGCACTCGGATGCCTATGGGAACCCCTAAGCGTGCTTCCACCAGCCAAGGTGCTCATAGTAGGAGAGGATCAAGGAGGGGCATCCTGAAAGGGGAAGGGGGGCTAGCCCATACCCTGAACTATCTCACTATCACACTAATGCTCATGCCAGGAGTGATCCAGGCTGAGCACTGGTTTAGGTGACCTGCCAAGGAGCAGGAGGGACTTTCCAGACGACAACTGTTACCTGGCAGCATCCCTATCTGGAGCAACAACACCCGCCTCGGCAGCAGGTCATTACACGTGGCCTCACACTATGTTTTGGGGACATGCATCTGCTGTGGGTGCTGCCAAGCCCCTCGTTGTCTGTGGTCCACATGGGGAGCTCCAGCCCCATCCAGCTGCAGCCCAGGCTGAGCAGGGGCTATTTCTGGAGCCCACAGCAGCTGACAGGAAGCTGTAGAAGCAGCTCTTATGCTGGGGGTCCTGGTGTGGGCAGCATCACCACAGCTGGTATGAAATCCCCTGCAGCCTCCCACCATGGGATGGGGACCTACCAGTGGGCAGGATGGAGCCCAGCATGGTGGCACACACATGGTCCAGGGACATGGTGGCATCTCCACTGCAGAGAAGTCATAGAATGGGTTGGAAGGGACCTTAAAGCTCATCCAGTTCCAAACCCCTGCCATGGGCAGGGACACCTTCCACTAGAGCAGGTTGCTCCCAGCCCTGTCCAACCTGGCTGCAGTACCTGCCTGGCCCTTGGATGGGGACAGTGTCACAGGCAGGCTGGGGACCTGAGCCTGCTTCTCAATGGAGTCTGGACACCACGTGCTGCTCCAGATCCCAAACCTGGGGCTCTGGGAGAAGCGGGTTAGCAAAGTGATCCTGCAGTGAGCATCCTGTGGGAGATCCATGTCCTCCACTGGGATGAACCCAGGTGTGGGTCAGGGAAGGTGGGGACAAGCTGCCCTCTCCTGTGGTACCCCGAAATCCCAAACCCTGTTTTCTCGCACTCCAGACCCCAAACGAGGAGGTTTTCTGCCTTGCCCACAGCACACATGGAAGGTCCCCTGCTCCTGCAGGAAACACTCAAACCTGAGTCACCTACACCAACCACCTTGCTGACCAGCAGAGCTCTCTCCTTCCAGTTGGATGGAGACACAAAAGAGCCTCCTCTATTCCCAATTCTCAGGGTTTTAACAAGGATTCTCCTACTCAAGGATTAACAAGGATTCTCCTACTCTCCGCACCCAACAGGGAGGTAACAGCAGAGGGGCCACGGGAGCTGCTTTCAGCAGCAGCCAGGGAGTGGAACTGCACTATCTCCAGCTGACAGAAGCACAGAGCAGCCACAATTCCTCATCAAACAAGACCCAGCAAGAGGGAAGGGCTTGTGCAGCATCACTGCTGGAGTCAAGGAGGGTTTGCCCATGGTCAAGGAACAGCCTCATTTCTGCAAGGAGCTGCTGGGATTAAGCTGTCACCTTGGGGACAGGACCCTGGACCAGGTCCCTGCTTCCAGTCCTGGCTTGGTCTTTCCTTAAGAGTTCTGAAAGGTGAAATTTGCAGTGAAAAATCTCATGTTCCAATAAGACACCAGGAGAGGAGAGAGAGGCCTACAGACCTGCTCCTGATGGTGGTTAGAAACACAGAGCAAACACAACTACCACAAACCCAGCAAGAACCCACTGAACCACCAGAAAAAAAAACTTCTCTTTTTATCTATCAGTTTCTCAGCTAATCTGACAGTACTGCACAGCCCTGGGGGTTGAGGACCAGCCATGGACCATGGCTACAGCTCACAGGCTCCATGCCCAGCCACTGGCAGAGGCTGCCAGACACCACGGTTGCAGGCAGGGCACCGAGACCTGGAGGGAGTAAATCCTTATGACAACTCAGCAGAAGGAGAGGATGAGAGAGCAAGTGGTCAGAGGAGACTCCCTGGCAAGGATGAAAGCAGGGGGGTATTTAAATCACTGCGCTGCAGCTTGAGAGAGAGCTGGAACCATGCTGCCATGGCCAGGCACTGCCACCCAGGAGGATGTGCATCACCACCATGGCCACCAGCATCACAACCATCACACCAACCACACAGAACCAGCAGGAGGAAATGATTCCTGCTTTAAAATGACCAACAAAGATACAAAGGCAGAGGGCGTGAATCCTGCACAGCGAGTGGGCTGGCCCTGCTGGAGGCTTGCTTACAGTGATGAGCCCCAGGGTGCGGACCACCCTCTGAAGCCACAGGCTTGGCAGCCCAGCAATTCCCATCCCATGATCCATGCTGGGGGCTCAGCCCAGCCCGAACAATGGGGTTTTCCTTACCCTTCCCAGGAAGTCAGTCCCAGCCAGGACTGCACAAAGTGAAAGCAAATCCCAGCAGGCTGCCAGTATTGTTTTCCCACAACTGGGGCTGCTGGGCCCCCACATCCCTCTTCCTCAGAGGAAAAGCAAAAGCCACTCGGACTCCATGGAGGGGTATTTTCTGACTGATCGTTTTGCCGGAATGTGGCAGAATACCACAGCGCTCAGCCTGGTTTCTTTTCCTCTTGAGAGCTTCAACAACTCCCCAGAGCAGGAACAACCACTCCTGAGCTGCTGCTCTGGTCTCATTTTCAGGGAAGCAAAAGCAGAGCTGGTTTTAGGAGGAAGCAATAATGAGACCTTCTGGGCACTGCAGTCTGCTAGGTTGGGAGTAATAAACGAGCAGGAAAGCAGGCACTGCAAGGCTCAGGTCTCAAAGGGAAAAGTCTGAACATCTGCTTCAAGCATTCTTCTTCCCAGCCTGGCTAGCTGCAGAGAGGATGGGAAGGCAGAGCCCCATCTGAAATGCAGCAGATGTTACAGATGTCCTCCAGCCACAAATCCCACCCTTGCCTGAAAAAACAGCTCCTGCAGAGGCTCCACAAGACAACCTGCTTCCGGAGGCTGCTCACAAGGGAAATAAACCTGTTCGGAGCCAGGTTTACAAACACAGGTAACCACACAGAGCTGCAGGACTCCTCACCAGGGGTCCAAATTAGAGGGCAGGCAGGACAAGCAGACAGACTTGGTGGTGGTGCTGCCCTGGGCAAGAGTGGTGCTTTATGCAAGACCCTGTCTTCTGCTTCAAAGACATCTCGCTTCATGCTGCCTGCTCTGCTTCTTCCCCCTGCACCATGGCTGCTCTTCACGGCACTCAGAAGCAGAGCGAAGCAATAGCCACCCCTTACCTTGCAGCTCCAGCACAACCCAACCTAGGGCGCATCAGCCAAGCAGCAGTGGCACCACAAACCTCCACCAGCAAAGCCACCTCTGTCACCCCAAACCAGACCTCACTGTTGCTTTAAAACAAAACCTGCAATGCCACCAGAGTACATGGTTCAGCTTCCTCCACCCACAAGTGTTTTGTACCAGCTGCTGCAAGCCACGACCCACGGCCCCGTGCTAAATAGGTCTGTCTGGCGTAGGTCAGGTCGAAAAGGCATCGTGGGATTTCTTGCAGAGCCAGGAATGATGCCAAAGGCTGCAAAGAGCCTCTCCTTGTTTACTTCATCTGGCCATAGAGCGCACAAGGACACACCAGGCTGGAGCCTTCCTGCCTCCAGAACTCACTCCAGTGCCCAAAGTCCAGTCCCTCGGCTCCTTTGCCAGCACTCTCAATGAAACGTGCCCTCCAAAAGAGCTTGTGGCAGCAGAACAGCTCTTACTCACCCAAGCAGCTGGAAGTAAGCTGAAGGGGAAAGGTTGTATTTGCCTCTTTGATACCGGGAGCAACCCATGCCTGGGGCAAAGAGGAACGGGACAGCCAGATCTCCAAAAGGCTGCAGATCCCCACCATGTCCCACTGGGAGCTGTCCTCACCCAAAAGCAGGGCTGACAATCAGCATCCTTTCTTCCCCTTTGCCCTCAGTACAAGCCTTAGCCTGGAATTGAGGGAGGGGAGATGGGGAGCAAGCTGCGCACCAAAGGAGGAAGGGAGGGGGGTTAGGATGCCGCCATTCCCTCTGGCTATTCCAGCCTTTGGATCCGCATCCCATATGAATACACACCGCTGGAGCAGCGACAGGATGGGGAAGAAACACTCAAAGCGGAAGGAAAACAGGAGCTCCGTGTCCCTGCCCAGAAGCGGTCCGAAGGCAGATGCGTGGGCCCGGGGGAAGGCCGGGGTTGTGCAAGGCTGAACGAGGGCAGAGCCCACCCGGGGTTTCGGCCCCGGGGTACCAGGGGGCCGGTACCGCCCGGACCGGGAGGGGACAGCGGGGATATCCCTCCCCGGCACCTCCCCACCGCGGTGACCCCAGGCTCCCACACCCCCAGCCCGCCCCTTGGGGAGCGGCGACAGGAGCCGGCAGTCCCTGCTCTGCGAGGGGGGGAAATGAGGCACAATAACGACTATCGCGATCCCCGCGCCTGCCCCGGAGCCGATGTCCGGGGGACAGCACAGCCCCAGACCCCTCCGGTGCGACCAAGAGCCCCAGAACCATCCGGATACAACCAACACGCAGCCCCGAGCCCCCACCACCGGTACCCTTCGCTGTACCCGGCGCCACCCTCCCTGGTGCCCAATGAGACCCCAATGCCCCACGCAGGCACCGCCGGGCTCCGAGCTCACCTGCCTGCGCGCCCCACAACGGACCCGCTCCCGGTACCCCCACGGCGGAGGGGCGGTGGGAACGCCCCCGGGAAATTCCCATCCTGATGGACGGGCGCAGCAGCCAATCAGCGCGGAGCAGAGGTGATATAAAGGGGAGCGGGGCGGGGAAGGTGCGCTGTCATGGCGGTGTGGGTGCGTGGTGGTGGGGACCGCGCTGAGGGGCTCCGCGGGGGTCCCGCGGACCCGCCCGGCACACGGTGGTGGAGGGAGCCCGCCTGGCTCCCCTTCGGGCGGGGTTTTGCCTCGCTGGGCAGCGGCAGCCCCGAGAGCGGCGGCTTATGGAGAGACAAAATGGCGGGGAGCAGCCGGGTTGGGGTGCGGAGCGGAGGCCGTGGTGAGGAGCTGCGCTGCGGCAGGGCCGGGCGCTCCCTCAGCACCGGGGGGCTTCCCGAGGGAGACCTTCCCTCGGGCAGGGAGAGTTCCCCCGTGTGCGGGTCTGCGTTAACGTTACACAAGGAAATGTCCCCAGCCGGAGCGGTTGTTAGCAGGGATCCTTCTGTGCTGCGGGTTTGGGTATTGTGCGTTCGTGAACAATAGAGCAAGAACCACAGGGATCGCCTCGGGTTGATGTCGGTCTTCAGGACTCTGCTCTATAGCTAGCTGATTCTTGTTGGTTTTGCCAAAAGGAAAGTGTTACATATATATATAGTAATTATACAGACGTATATATATATGTGTGTGTGTGTGTGTATATATATATATATAAAAAAAAAACAAAAAGCACCAAACCAGCAGCAAAGGAACTTTGCTGTAAGCAGACGTGCTGCTCTCTGCCTGTATTCCTGACGTTTCCTCCTTAGGTGACTGCTACTGGGATCGCAGAGGTGTCCTTCACTGGTGATTATCCTGTTTCCAGCTCTCCCAGGCCCAGTATTCCTGCTCAGCTCTGTTCACATGGTTCCACTTCTGGGTGATTTGTTTTGGGTTGTAAAAATGAAAACCAGAATAACCTAAACCCCTTTCCCTGTCTGCTCTTCAACCAAGACATCACCCTGGCAGCCTGGCTGGGTTATGAGACAGCTCAGAGTGTGCCGAGATCCAGACATGCTCATTGGCTCCGCTTATGTCTGATGTCTCAACGGGGGACAAAACAACAGGACCCCACACAGGCAACTGAACCCTTTTGTTCCCCAAAGAGCTTGTTTTACCCGAGCAGCCCAGTGTTCTTCTGTAAACCCTCCTAAAACCTGGCTTCAGAGCTAAACTCAGTCCCACAGAACCCAAAAGCATCTTGTTCATGAGATAATGCCTCAGCTTGAACTACAATAGCCAAACCCTGTTGTCTCTTTGAGGAGAGAAGGCAGAGTGGGGTGGTTCAGCTTTACAGCACTGAAAAGCTGCCTGCCCCTCACTCTACCTTGGCCATGCTCACATTGATAAAAGCATCGTGGTACTCACCCGGCCGGGTCATGGAGGGGCTTGGGGCATGGGAGCCCTTTGGGCAAGGCACTCTCCGGCTGCGATCCCCAAACGCACAGGAAGGCCAGCCCAGCTGAGCTTACTTTTAGGCATGGAGAAGGGGAATTCCCCAGGATGGAGGTCCCAGACAGCCTCAGCGTGGTTTTGAGAGGGAGCCAGGCGCCGCTTAAAGGGCTCTCCTGTGCTCTTCCTTCCAGGGGCTGCCGAGCCCTGTCAGGTTTAGTCAGCAAAAGGAGGGAGCGAGGGGTTCTGTCATGGAGGCTGTGATTCACTTTTGGACAATGGGAGAGCCTGCTTGTATCATGCTCCTCACCTTGTTTGTGAGTGGCTTCTCTGGGTTAGCAAACACACTGTGCTTCTCCCCAGTGACTTTAGACAGGCATTGTTATTGTCCCATGCATGTTGCCTTCCCATTCTCTTATCTCTGGAATTAGAACAGGACGTGTCCTCCCAGGGAAGTTGGGAAGAACTGGCTCTGCTGGTGGAGCCAGAGAGGCGATGGAATGCCAGGGTTGCAGGTAGTCCTTGGAAACCAGCCATTGAGACAGCTGATGGTCAGAACCAAGGCTGGTGCTGGGATAAACACCAAGGATTTAAGTGTTTCTGTTTTACAGAGGCTGATTCCAGCTCCTCATCAGCAGGAGTTGCACCTGGCACGAGGTTTGGTCTATGCTTGCTGGGTGTGAATTGCGAGGCCTGAAGAACACACTGTGTTGGTGCAGCTGGTTTGGGTGGCAGGAGCATAGGGGTGCTTGGCAGGAGGGGTCTGGGACCTTGGTATCCATAGAGGGGCTCAGTGAATGCTGTGCTCTCACCCAGTGCCTCTCTTCCTCTCCAGCCAACTGCTCTTTGTGTTTATGCCTGAGGTCACCCACTTGGGCTGGTCCAAATACCAGGACAAATCTCACTGTAAAACCCAAATGAACCATTGGTCCTTCCTCATTCCTTCAGTTCCACTTTGCTCTCTGGGGAGAAAACTCACCTGACAGCACCTCTGATTCACGAGCACGCCTGCTTGGCTGCGAAGATGTGCTCAAAGCTGACACTTTTACTGCTTTTACATACTAGAGGGACTTTTTGGCATGGAGAGTGGGTTCAGTAGAGGCTCATTCACATGGAGGCACCCTGATTGCTTCTGTATTTGTGGCTGTGCCATGGGAAATGGGGTGAGAAAGAGCACAAGCTGTGAATGGAGGTGATGGAGCTCTCCTGCCCTCTGCTCCTGCTTGTTTCAGATCAGGTCTAGCATCCTTCAGGTTGACCCCACTTAGGGATGAGCAGGATGAGCCTTGTGCATTCCCAGTGTTGCAGATCCCTGGTGGAAGTGTCCCAGCAGCCCCAGTAAGTCCACCTGCCCTCAGTGCTGTGGAGCGAACGGAGCACATTGGAAGCACGATGGGATGCTGGGGCCAGGCAGGGCCTGGCTGTCATAGGTGGCTGTGCCAGGGAGCTGGCCCTGGAGCAAGGTGGGAGCAGCTGGTTCATGGGCTCAGCTCTTTGGGGTGCCTCTTGGCATCAGCAGTGGGTTTCAGTGGGGCCTGCTGCGTGTGCCACGCTGGGATGCTCCGCAGTGGAGGGAAGCAGAAGGGCAACAGTGACGCTGTGAGAGGAGGGAGGAAGCTCCGGCCGCAGGAGGGGATTTCCAGAACATTGTGATCTGCTGCCTATGCAAATCAGGAACTCACGTTAACCTGGCAGGATGGGAGGCCATGGGATGGAGGGCAGAGGGGGGAGCCTGGCAGAGGGAAGAGAGCAGGGCAGGGAGCCGGATAGGCAAGGGGTCAGCTGAGGGATGGAGAAAGGGAGCGATCTCCCCTGCCTTCGCAGGGGTTGGAGTTGCACCATGGCTTTCCAGGGATGCCGGGCTGCTTTGGCTTTGCTGGGTTTAGCTTCCCACTGAGCCAGAGCTCCCTTGGGCCTCTGGCAAGAGAGCAAGGGCTCAGTGTCATCTGCACCTCAGGAGGAGATCCCCACCTCCTGCCTTCTTCCACAGCCTCTCCATGGCGGGACCTGGTGCAGCCCCACAATGGATATGCCAGGAGCTGTGGGAGCTGGATCCAGGAGTGCTCAGAGGATTTCCTGACATGCCTTAAGCTGTGAATTATTTGGAGTCTCAATTTGTAGTATCAGGAACAGCCCCAGAGGGGATTTCTCCCTCTTCCTCTCTCCCCTGGTCATGTCTCATTCAGTTGCGATGCCTGAGGAAACGGCTGGCCAGCAGTCATCATATCCTGGAAAGCCGGCTCCTGGGATGACAGTGTGGGGAGATCAGCTGTTTGTCCAGCCTCAGCTCACCGTGGGGACAGGATGCCCAGTGGATGTGAGGGACAAGGCTGCTGCTTCCTCCTTTGGCTTGGGAACAGGAAGAGCTGAAGAAGAAATCTGTGCCGGCTCCCAAGGCTCAAGGCTGGGATTCTCCACTCTGGGTGGGATGGAAGCAGCTCACTGATGTTTTAGCATTTACACCAACATCCCGTGTATCTCTTCACCAGATGTGGCTCCTCCCAGGGTTTGGTAGTGAAAAGGATCCACACTGGCCCCTGGAGCTGACTCAGAGGGAGAGGCCTGACCCTGTGCACACCAAACATGGGCTCACGGGGTTTTGGGGATGTCGCAACCTGTGAAATCTGGTGCTGGCTATGCCTGGAAGCGAGTCCTTGCCCCAGCACTGCCGGTCAGTGTGCACACAGCTGGGACCTGGTGTGTGGGTCCCAGACCCTGGCAGCAGCTTCACTGCCTGAAGGCTGAACAAAGGGTGGCCAGCTCGCCCTGCCTGCAGCAGGTTCCACTGACTCTGTCCCAGATCCTTTCTAAGGTGACAGGTCACATGTAACCTCCTGGCTGACACTCCTGTGCTCCAGGCTGGGTTTCTTCCACTCCTCTGTGCTTCTCTATGTCCCACAGTCTGTCTTGGTGCTGCCAGGCCCAGTTTCCCTCCTGGTTCTTTTGCAGTCCTAAAGCAACACCCCTACCCAGTGCCTCTTCCTTCCTCATGGCTGCTTCTATCCAGAGCATCTCATTTCTCTGGGTCTGGGATGGAATCCTCAGGCTCTCCAGCACAGGAAGGCTGCAGGAGTTTAGTTCAGTTGGCAGCAGGGGATGCATTTACTATGATGCATGACACCAAACAGTGTGACTCTGGTATCTTGTTCTTATCATAGGAACAGCCGGCAGTGGGTGCCAGGGAAATTCCTGGCCTTGAGATTGGTGTGCTGGGATCAGCCAGGCTTCCTGGTGGCAGCATCGCCCGAGGGGCTGCCTGGTCTCACTTGTGTTTCTGTGCCAGTCACAGGCTTATAGCAGTCATGGTACAGCCATAAACCTCACTGGAATGTTTGTGCCTGTGCCCAGGGAATACTCATAGCCCAGGAACAGTGCTTTTGGCAATAGGAAGGAGGCAGGATGATGACTTATGTTTTGTAGCCCTGTGCTAATGCTGAGCAGATTTCCTTCCCTTTGCTCTGAAGGAGTAGAGCTCCATTGCCCCAAATCTGCCTTTCCTTGATGGCTCCTGAGTCCCAAAGCATCCTTGGACATTGGAGCTGGGCCCCTGAAAGCACCATTCCTATCTGCAGACCCTGCTCTCTGTGGTTGCTATGCCATGCAGCACAGCCTCACACCCCTGCTGTGACAGTGAGAGCTGCAGTGCTGAGCTGCAGGAAGAGGTGGCAGATGAAGATCAGGGGTTATATCCTGCCTTCAAAACATCTGCAGCAGGTTCCTGGCCACATAGGAGACTCATATGCTGCTGCGGACATGGGATGGGTCCAGACCTCTCCCCCCTGCTGCCTCTTCCTACTTACAACAGCGAGGCAGAGAAACCCAAATCTCTATGGGAGAGGGTAAAATAGGTTCAGGCAGGCTGTTTTCCCCCATGAAAGGTGATTTTGGTACAAGGGGATGTTTTACAGGAAGGCATCAAGGGAATTTTCAGTGGGATAACGCCCAGCTGAATTTTTCCAGCTTCCCTGTTTTGCCTCTACATGTTGGTGCTTCTTGACCTCAGCTGGTTTTGAAGCATTATGATAATATTGTGTTATTATTTAATGCTGCTTTGATATCTTGAAGGTGAAGCTTTCCTCACCCAGCTGTTCTGAGGAAGACTTGGGCATTCAGGACTTTTTGTTCCGACTTGGAAACAATTGAAAGTGCTGGAATTTCCCACTTTTGGAAATACCAGTTCTTTTCTCCTGGGCGTTGGGGGAAGTGCAGACATCAGCTGGGGGTGTAGCCTCTATGGCATGTGTGTTTCGACTCTCGCTTCAGCAGCTTGAAAGCACAGGAAACCGCGTGTGAGGACAGATGGATGCCATCAAGCCCGATTTGTATCTCTGGTTTATGAAAGCATCATCCACACAACGGCACGAACCCTGCCAGGGGTTTTCAGAGGCATGAAGTGAAGCTCTCAGTGAAATCCCTGTGCTGCTGCCAGCCCCATATGAATTTCCAGCCCCTTCCTCACAGCAGGGAATGCTGCAGTGTTGTTTAAAGAGCATTTGGGGTCCCTGCAGTAGCAAGGAGACACTGAGACTCCTCAGCACGGGCTCAATCTCCCCCAAACCTACCCCAGTAAATTAACTGCTCTCACCCCATGGTCAGCAACAGTAAGGTTTTATTCATGAGATCTAAAATTGTCTTTTCCATCTGGGTAAATTCCTGGGTTAGTGGCATGTTGGGTATGAATTATTGTGCACATCTCCCTACCCAGAGCCCTCTGCTCCCCTCCCCGAGACCCCCCTTGCAATGTGGTGCTGCTTTCATCCTCTGCAGGGAGCCTAGTGTCCCCCGAAACCCCCGAAGCTGCAGTGACATCAAGGCAGTGGGTGCGTGCGTGCTGGCTCAGACACAAAGGGGCTCCTGCAGCCATCTAGTCCTCCCCTCCGCATAGGGTCAGCAGAGCGGTGCGGTAGTCACCGGAGGTGTCCTTCTGCAAGAGGGAGACCCGTGTCAGAGAACTGGGAAAGCCCAGGGCAAGGCATGGGGAAGGAGCATTTCCATGCCACAGGCGTCTGTGCAGCAGTGGAGGATGTCAGCACATCCCCTCTATAGCCAGAAATGCCAACACTGGAGCTGGTTGGGGTACTTCTCCCTCCCCAGGTGATGCTCT